TTGATAAACCATTGAAATGTTTACTAATATCGCGACAAGTAGAGCTCAAACATTTTTTGATTGACAAATTGACGACATTGACAGAAAAGTGTTATTTGAAGTGTATCTGAAGCATGTTGTTTTCCAGTAACGTCATGTAACAAATCTAGATCAATAACTAAAAAAATTGAATCAAGCTTGTTTTGATGTAACACAAAATTGGAAACAAATGATTCAAATTCCCCAAACTTTTAGCTATCATAAAGTTTATGTTGCACCTTATTTACGCAAAACATCCAAATTTAAACTTAAACAATTAAAACTAATTATAACAGTCTGCGTTTCACTTTAAATAAATTATGTTTTTTCTTGTATTATTATTAATACTATTTTTTATTATTTGCATTTTCATGCTATATTTTTCTATACAATGTTCTTAGTCATTAAGACTAACCCAAAGTAGCGTCCGTTTTTGACCAACATTTATGCGTACCAAAATATTACTCAAGCGCTGAGTTGGTGGTGGCCAATTTGAACTTGTATTGTTTAACATTCTAGGTTTTAACTTTTCGTTTGACGCTCTAACCTACTAAGCTATCCCACCATATTTACAGTTACAGCTCATGGCCATGTGTACCAGGATGACAGTGAAATGACAGTGGAGAATGGCAGTGATGGATAGTGGAAGATGACAGTGGAGGATGACAGTGATGACAGTCATGGCCATGTGTACCAGGATGTACAGCACATAGCCATTTGTATCAGGATGACAATGAACTTTTTTTTTTAATACTCAATAAATAATTTCTGTTTAAAAAGCAAAAAAAAAATTAAAACTTATTAATCTGGAGAAAAAAATAAGTGTTTTATTTGACTTTTTTTTTTTAATTATATTCCAACAGCAACAAAATTTTTTATTTTTTATTATATTCCAATAACAGATTTTATATAACAATTGCAGTTGCTAATTATTGTTTCAGAATATTTGCATAATATTAGTTTTTCTCGTGCCTATTATTTTTAGGTTTTTTTAATTTTTTTCAAATTTTTTGTCACAATTATCATTTTTCGGTAACTAGAGCTGGCATTTTCAATCTCTCCTTAATTGCTTTAGGAATCACAAATAATCCTAACAGGCAGATTTTTACTTTAGCCATTAACTAACATTTTTCTCAGAAACACCAAACTACGGACAAGAATTCAGCATTCAAAACTTTCAAAGCATGGTCCCGAAAGTGTCAGATTAATCTACAAGTTAACAATTTGGAGTGCGAGCCACGTCTGAATATCTCTGGATTAACACTGATAAACAAATTTTATTAGAATGCCTTACTGTTACCAGGCAAATACTTTTCTGCAAATCGAAGAGCAGCTATATAGTCATACAAATACAATGTGCAATGTTCTAAGTTTTTCATTATTGTATTTCGAAGTTCTTTGTACCTCCAAGTCCATACAAATTTTCTTCGTCTAATAAATCTTTCAAAGCTGACTAAGTGTGACTTGGAACAGATGCTGTTATTATATTATTTAGGAACCTTTAAACATACATAATAGTTATGAAAGAGCTGGCATTGTTAATCTTTTAATTTTTAAATGTAATTTTGGGAACTAAGGGACATGCATTACAATAATGAAAAAGCTGGCATGGGTAATATTTTTATCCGAGTCCACTGCTAATACCTTGTGAGTAATTTGATATTGTGGTTTGTTAAATTATATTTTGAATTAGCCATGAATCTTTCCTCATGCATCTTACCAGGTATCGGAAATCTAAAGTTCCTTATAAAGTTTTCATATCGAAGTGCATAAGTCAAGTAGGTCAGAGTTTTTATTGGCTTTTAAATAAAAATTGAACCAGAGGCTAAAATTGTTGATCATTAATACATTATCAAGCCTATTTATCTAACTAAAGATCTCTGGAAAAAACTCTTCTGAACCGTTCGCCAAATTATTCATCATAAAATCTTCATAGAAACTGTTGCTTTTAAAAACTCCTACAAGGTGAAAATTTTGATAATATTTGTTCAACAGGATTATATTTTATTTAAGGTATTTTTGATTATACCGTCTAGTGACAATCTATTCAAAAACATGCCAGAGTATCAATAACACAAAATTATTTTATCCTAGTTAAGATACGATACAAAAGCAGATCAATAGTAAATCTGGCAATGCTTAACAGCAATTAATATATGGCTTAACAGCAATTAATATACAAAAATTCGGTTTAGTTTTTGATAGAGCACATCTACTACCTACATTGATATTGAATCTATTTTTTTTTTAGTTTTAAAAGATAACATAGCTGAAAAATCGGCTTTACACAATTGCGATGTTGAAAAAGGTATAAGGACTGCAATTGATAAACACAATAGATATGATTTCCTCATTTTCAACTAGAAGTTATTTAATGGTGTTATTTTGAAGTGATCCTTAGCCGTGGTATCATTCTTTAACTCTATAAATTTTTCTTGCGCTTCCTATTTCATATTTTTCACATCACTAGAAAATGGTGGAATAATAACTTTACTGCTTAAAAGGTTCTCATCTGTAAAGTAGTTAACCAACTCATTAATCAAATTATTAAGGTGAAAAAATATTTTTGTCTTTTTAATTTTGGGAAGTATGCTATATTCAATTACGCTATTTAATTTTTGCAACATGATCACCTTTCAATTGTTGATTCTAGTCTTGTACAGTTTGAGCTTTTTTATATATTCCTTCAGTATTTCCGAGTGTGTCATGACATAAGCATTTTTGCTATAATATGAACCACAATGTCCATATGTTAAGCCATTTTTATTTCAAAATTGTCAAATATAATATAAATATCACTTTTCATTTGACATAAACTCTTTGTTTACTTTGCTTCTAAGCTTAAAAAATCTTTAAAAAAAGTTCCAGATATAGCCATTATACTGAAGTATAAACAATAACTTGTTGTGTTTAGCATCTAGGTCAGAGCAAAATTTTGTAAAAATTTGAGTGTTTAGAGCAGAATTTTATGTGACCAACTCGAATAATTGATAAAAAAACAGCTTTTAATCTACCTGGTAGTGTTTGGTTGCCAAAGCCTGTCTATAAATAAAACATTGTACACCAACTACATTTGGAGCAATCTCTTTCACTCTAATCTGCATTCCAGACTTACAACCCTTCATGGCAGAAGCTTAATCAGTAGTTATTCCAAACAAATATTTCCATTGTAACGGATTGTTATTGAAAAACTGTTTGAAAGTTTCTGTAATGTCATGTTATACAATATTATAACATATAGATGTTTCAAGTATAGAAAAGAATAAAATTCTTCCTTTAACTTTTTATTGCAATTATACCTACAAAATACATATAGTTGTGCTATTGAACTTACATCTGTGGGCTCATCCAACTGAATAGAAAATTATGGAGATTTTTTAGTTTCAACAATTTTTAGTTTTGTGAATCGGTGGTCCATGGACCCCAGGGATCCATTGAACACCGGTTGGGAACCACTGTTTTACACGAAGACTAAGGCATTACTGTGTAATCATAGGATGATATTGTACATATGTTGGATTGGATGTTAAATATTTTTGTTGCTCACTTTAAAAGATCTTCATAAATGGTAAAACATTATATTGATCAAAAGCATTTAACATTAGGTTTTTCATACCATTATCAAATCAAATAATCATTATCATCATCGAAATTCAGAAGTTACTTGTCATGCTTATCAGCTTAGTTACAAACAAAAGGTCGTATTGTTTTTATAACCCTATGTAACCCTAACCCGATTATCTCAACCGATGGTCCATGGAACTTTGGTTGGAATTAAAGTTTTAGGGAACCACTGCTCTAAGCAATACTTTTAAATGCGTAAGATGTGAATGTAATAAAATTATTTTGACTACAGAGAGTCCAGAGAATTGTTGAATTTAAAATGTTGGTAAGAGTTGATATTGCTTCATGTTATTTGTCATTATTGCAACTGTTTGTATCTGAATTAACTAAAATAACATGATCTACTAATCATATTATCTATTTAACTAAAAAATCTATAAAACATATTTTCTATCGATATAAAAAATAAACAAAAAATATTTGAAGTCTCTTTTGCCTCAATTTATCTCTATGATTTTTTAAGTTATGTGAGCACTTAACAGAATGTCTTCTGAGTCTGCAGCAACTTGAACAGATATACTTAATGCCAGTTTAAGAATAATTTCTTGTAAGAGAGGCAATCTAATGCTTACAAATTGCTTCACAAGTTACAAATATCATTAGTAACAAAGATGTTTTTTTACTTACAAATTCACTTCATAAACTTAGTTAGAATGTGCAACACTAATTATTTATCTTTAAACATATTTATAAGTTTATTTCTAATAAAACCACCCTTTAGCCTGATTTCAGATAAAATTAGTACATGACATACCAAAAATAACTATACTATAAGAATTTAAATTTAATTTTGAACTACATAAATAAGAATTACTTACTTATAAAGCTTACTTATTTATTCTTTAAAACGTAATAATAAAAACTATTAGACCGTTAAATTCTTTTATACAATAGGAAGCTCTCTAACAGGAATGAAACCTAAATGTGGCAGTGAAAAATAAGGAACATAAAAAGATGTTACAATCTACATTATTGTTAAACAAACAAAAGTTTATTTTAAACCTAATATTTATAAAAAAAAAATTAATTTGTCACAGTTATTGTTTTAGAAAACGACTTTTTAGAAAACGACTATTGAACAAAATGTTTAAGTTGCTGAAAAATCTCACAAAGGTATTGGAAAGTGTTTTAAACAACAAAACTCAGCTATGAGTAGATTTTTAAAGAATTATTAACATGCTTGTAAATCTGTAAGGTAAGAAATTAAATTTAGCGCAGAAATTTTTTTGCAAACCAATAGATGCACACACTTTTTTAGCATCAAATTAAAATTAATTTAAGAAACTATACATTAAAAATGTGCAAAATAAATAAATAAATAAATAAACAAATCTGTAAATAAAGTTTCAACCACTTAC